CGAATGCTTTTTCAACATCTATGGAGATGATCTTGTGGTTTTTGTCCTTTTTGTTGATGTGGTGGGTGATGTTAATGGATTTTCAAATGTTGTACCATCCTTGCATCCCTGCATCCCTGCATCCCTGGGATGAATCCCACTTGATTATGGTGTATGGTCCTCTTGATGTATTTTTGAATTCAGTTTGCTAATATTTTGTTGAGTATTTTTGCATCTATGTTCATCAGGGATATTGGTCTAGTTTTCTTTTTTTGTGGTGTCTTTGCCTGGTTTTGGTATTAGAGTGATGCTGGCCTCTTAGAATGAGTTTGGAAGTATTCCCTTCTCTTTTATTTTTTGGAAAACTTTAAGGAGAATGGGCATTATGTCTTCTCCAAATGTCTGATAAGATTCAGCAGTGAATCCTTCTGGTCTGGAGGTTTTTTTCTTGGGTAGTTTTTTGATTACTGATTCAATTTCTGGTAATTGGTCTGTTTAGATTTTCTGTTTACATGGTCTTTATTATGCTAAGGTTATATTCCTTCTACCTAACTTATTGTTTTTATCATGAATTTTGTCTAGTTTTTGTCAGACTCCTCCATCTATTGAGATGATGTGATTTTTTTTTCATTCAGTCAAAAATGTATCACATTGACTGATTTGTGTATGTTCAGCCATTCTTGCATCCCAGGTTTATACCAGGTTTATCCCACTTGATCATGGTGGTGAATGAAATGATCTTTTTAATGTGCTACTGAACTACGTGTACTAGTATTTTATTGAGAAAGTTTACATCTATATTTATCAGGGATTTGGTCTGTAATTTTAATTATTTTCCGTTTAACCTCTCTGAGCCTAGAGCTCCCCATCTAACATAAGAATCCAACTTCACGGGTTAGGAGGATTACATGAGATAACATGTGAAACGCACCCTGCAAACCAAAGGCAGTTGACAAATGTTAGTTTGCTCCCCTCCCTGCATCAGAGCAGCTAGGACACGAGGACACAGAGGAGGCGGCCTCAGTTCCTATGTTTAGTTTAAGTTGGTTTTATACAAATCCATAAAACGTGGCCTTCTCAGGTGGCTTTCCCAGCAATTTTGTTGCTACAATCCAAGACTATGTAGGCTGCTCACACCACTGGGGCAGAAAAAAACCAGCTTTGCCAGCTTAGGACTGCAGGGGGCTTATGTCTCATGTCTGCAAGGGGAGAACAATGTCAAGGGGCCTTTGGGAGATGACACACTGTAGGTGGCGGAGTAGGGAGAGAGCAGAGAGAGATGGGGAACATCAGCGCCTCGAAGGCTGCTGGTGGGGGTACCGGGTGGGGCCGAGGGCTCTGCGCTTGCAGGGAGCTCGGCTACTTTCTCCAGGACCCCAGGCACGTACCAAGGCTCTGAGCCTTGGTTTTCTCATCCACAGAAACACAGCTGAAAAGACCTACATCTTGGGTTTTTGTGATGATTAAATGAGACACCTAGGAGATATTTTGTGTGTAGTAACTTCTCCTTCTTTTATTTTTAAGAGAAAGGAGGCAAAGACCTTCAAAGAGGAGACAGATTCATACGACTGCCTTGTAGCAGAGATCTGACACAGGCTTGTCATTGGAGTGAGTTGGTCGTGACACACCCCGAAGCACAAAATGGACATTTTTTCTTGTAGACTGAGGCCTAAAAGGGGTTGAAAAAAAAAATAAAGCCAATTGGATCTTAGTTTTTTCCTCCATGACCAGGAAATGAATGGTGGGTTGGTTTCTATGCACCGGCGAGGCAAGTGCAGCTCCATGCTTTAAGGTAAGAAAAAGGGGGGCCCTTTATTTTAAAAGGGAGACAGATGTCAGAGAACATCCCCAGCGGCCCGCCAAGGAGCTGATGAGAGAAGCGGAGCTGCAGGGTGCTGTCGGAACGGCAGCAGCTCCAGCGGACACGGGACCCTTGCTGCCAGCCCCTGGCACTGGCCAGCCCCTCACCTCCTTCAGAACCAGTCTCCAAGCTCCGAGAAGTAATGGCAGTGGGTTGGGGCAGGGGTGGCACAGGTGGAAAGTCTAAATGGAAACAGGAGCCTGTGAATAGCCCGAGAGGCGGTCCAGGAGGGGAGCCGGTCTGAGGCCCAGAGCCAACCCAGGCTCTCCCTATGGCTTACACTTCCTCAGCGTTGAGGGCTTGAGACCTGAGAATCTAGCTGGGGCGGCACTGGGGAGGGACCTTGGGCGGGGCAGAGAGCGCTGCTGAGGACGCCACTGGAGAAGACCCCAGCCTCCAGCAAGCCGGCAGGGCTCTGGACCCAGGCCCGAGACAGTCCGAAGAGAAGGCTGAGGTACTAGAGAAAGACCTGGCCCCAGGGGGACACAGACATGCTGGGGCACTTTGTCCTGGGCGGGTAAAGGCCACACACAAAACTGCGGGAGCCGCAGGCAGTGCCCTGCAGGCCCAATGGACCAACTCAACTGCAAAGGGAGTTGATTTTTAGAGGCACCTCTTCCTCCTACAGGTGCCCGCCACACCTCTGCTGCCCCAGAGGTGCCCTCTGCCGCCTGTCCCTGCAGGAGCTCTTGCACAAGTTGACACACTGAAGCCTGAGGTAGGCTGCGTGGTCACAGAGGGGGCAGCTTGCTGTTCCGAGTCATACCATCCTTGTCACCCAGCCCCGTGGTTCCTCAGAGGGGGACAAAGAGGGCACAGGGGGCGGCTCCATCGGAGGGGACGAAGCGCAGGCAGCTCCTGGGCATGTGGTCCGGGTGCAGGACAGGCCAGGCTGCCCCGAAGCCCATTGCTCAGGGCCTCAGCAGTGATATACCTTCAGTTTGTTGTCTTCACACAGGCCCAGCTGCAGGAGGCCCGAAGCACCTGTTGGCTTGGGCAGCGAGAAGAGGTACCTGACCCGGAGGTGAAGGAAAACTGCAGTTAGATGAGCACAACCAGGGAAGGGTCAAAGGCCAAATGCAGTCTTCCACACAGGGGCCCCAGGACACAAACGCAAGCCTTGCAACCTGGCTCAGCCAGGAAGGGGCCAGGGTTTGGAAACCCGCTGAAAGGATACGACCTGGGGTCATTCTTGTACTGCTCCAGCCACCTTCGGTTGGCCTCGATCATGCTCTGAAAGCTGGTGCTGCCCATCCTGGGCACTTGGGACTGGGAATGCTGCAGGAGGTGGAGCTGCTCGCTGCAAGGAGGAGGACAGCATGGGGAGGCGAGGGCGAGCGGGCCCGCCGGAGGCCCTCACTTCTGCCTGCCCACGCTTCCTCTCAGCAGACCAGCTGTAGCCTTTCTGGGGGTCTCTTTAACGATTCTAAACTCCCCGTACTGGCCAGAATGCCCCTCTCAGAGGATGAGAGTCAGCGCCTAAAAGGGAAGGCGGTGGACCCCGGAGCCCCTTCCAGAGTGGACACTCCAGGCTCTGGTCACTCGCATCTGCTTATTCCCAGCCTGTCTCCTCAGCGGAAGCTTTGCCTTCTGTCGGCTCAATACCTGCCCAGCATCAGCTCCCAAGTTGGCCAAAGGGGGAGGGGGAAGGGGGTACACTTGGCGAGGAGGAGGATGAATGGGCACCCCTCTCACTCCAGATGTTACCCAGCAGGACTGGAGGAAGCAGGAAGCCATACGAAGCAAAGAACAACCAGCCACACTCCGGGGCTGGAGGGGCAGGGTCCCACCAGGCAGCTTCCTCGCCGGGCTGGGCAGGTAAGCACAGCCCTGACTGGGACCTCGGCGGTTTGGACCCTTCTCCGGTTGCGGGGGGCGCCTCAGACGCAGGCAGCTCTGTGGGCTGGGGCTGCTCACCCTCTGGGCACAGTGACCGGGAGCTCTGCTCTCCCCAAAGGCCCACCTGCCCAGGGAGGCACAGCGGGGCTTACCTGGCAGACACATAACCCAGCCTGTTCTCCAGGGGGGCAGGGCTGCTGCTGAGGGGCGGGGCTCCAGCTGGAAAATGGGAGGAAATCATTCAGAGCTCGGCAGCAGGTCAGCTGAGCCGGACCCTGGCCGGCCACTTCCCCAAAACAAGGAAAGAGTGACAGGTGACAACCAGGAATTGATCTACTTGTCTTAGGGAGAAGCTATGTACCATTTTCCCTCAAGTAACTATGTTTTTGGTGGCTTTTCACATTCCTAAGCAGGCCTGTGGGACCAGGGGGAAGCCATACAGCCACAGGGTTGTGAGCAGAACCCTGGCGTCAGAGAGACAAGGGTCAAAAGCCAGCCTGTCACTTGCTCCTTGTGTGCTCACCACTTCGCCTGAGTCCCAGTCCCCCTTTCTGTGAGGTGGAGACAAATATTATTGCCTCAGGGGTTTATTATAAGGACAAATTAAAAGCTATATAAAATGCCTGGCCCACAATATAATACACGGAAGCTATTAAACCCATCAGAAAGGCTGCAACCCGCCAGAACTCCAGCACCACCACCAGCAGGTCTAACCCATAGACGAAACCAAAATTGGGGGCAGGGGAGGGGGGCTTACTTGGAAAATACTTGTGCCACTTCTCCACCAGTAAGTCGTCCACAGTTTGAGAAACAGAGGAGGAGGGCCTGAGGCCCAGCCCCAGGTCCCAGGCCCACCGGGTAGGCGTGGCTGGGCTTGGGACCCCAGCCAGGGAGGAGCAGGGAGGGGCCTGGGCTGGCACGGAAGTGAAGAGGGGCAGCTGCGTGTTGAGGCTGCCCAGCACGCTGAGGGCGCCATTCATCTGGCGGCTGATCTGCTGCAGCGAGCTGTTCAGGTAGTGGATCTTATTGTGGAAGGTGGGACATGGGGTCAGGGCGACTGTAAAGGGAGAGCAGAGGTGGGGAAGGACTCAGATCCAGCGCCCTGGAATGTCCCCTGGCCCGGCTGATGCTGTGGCTCACTGCCAGTCCCACCCTCCCTGTTCCTCCAGACAGCAGCGCCTCAGCCTTGATGGCGGTGAGGGAAGGCAGGGTGGCAGAGGGAGAACAGTGCCCGGGCAGGTGGCACTGGAAGGGAAAGGCTAACGGGCACCTTCTCCCTGTGCCCTGCTCTGCAAGTCTGAAGGCCTTCCCTGGCCTCAGCCCTGAGTGCCGCCAAAGCCAAAGGGGTTCGTTCCTTCCCACCCATTGACGCAGCACCTGCCGCAGCCCCAGCCGTGCCGGCCAGGGGAAGAGGCTGTACCTCTGTTCCCTAAGACCCCCCAGCCCCTCCCCGCCGACACCACCACTCACTGTGAGGCAGGGAGGACTCGGAGCTTTCACTGCTGGTGTCTTCCAGGTCACCGAGGTCAAAGGTCACCGCCTTCTTGGTCGGGGCTCCTCTGAGAGTGTCTGCATCTAAGGGCTGACAGAAGCAGCAGTCGGTCCTGATGCTCACCCTGGGCTTTCTGCCCACTGCCCCTGTGATGTGCGGTGTGGGGACTGAGGACCTGGTGGGCAGGGGCAGCGGGGACGACGGCCCCTCTCCTGCTGCCCCACACCTCCAGCACGCAGGGAGGAGGCCCCAAGGCCCCAGGGAAGGCAGGGAAGTCTTCCAGGTTCCTCTGATCCCCACACCCGGGCACAGCTCTCCCTGAGGACCATGACAGGGGAGGGGCAGGGGCTAGTCTCGCTCACAAAAACCTGCGGCAAAAGGCTCCAGGTCTGCTCGGGCCCACTCAGCACCCTCAAAGCTGAAGCCACCAGTGTTTTCGCCAACCCAGCACCCCCAACATGGGACCACGGAAGAGGAAGGCGTGGCCACGGGGCGGCACCTCTTCCCCAAGGGAGGCCTCCAGCCGATGCAGCTCCTCTGTCTTCAGCAGGTCACAGCCTTTCTGCATGGCCGACGTCGTCTCACCCAGGTGCCTGGTCCCCTGCAGCCGGGGAGGGAGTGGGGCATGCAAGTGGTGGCTACCCACACCAGGGCTGGAGTCCCAGCTCTGCCATTTGAGGGCTGGGTGATCTAGAACAAATCACTTAACTCTCAGTCTGGACTCTCATTTGAAAAACACTGTTCATGAGAGTTAAATGGGAGTGTGTTACATGCTTAGCATGACGCCCAAACCTAACAAACTCTCCAGTGGTTACTGTTAACCAAATGGTGGTAGTTATAACTGCTCCAACTACCAATTCTAACATCTTTGCTGGGAGGGACTCAGCAGAGAAACAACAGGGCCTAGAGGTAGCATGCGGATACCCCAGGAGCCCTGCCCCTCTGCCAGCCTCTTGCCCTCCCCTGGACCCACACTTCCTCAGCAGCTCTGAGCACCATCTAAATTCTAAGGGACCAGGTGGAATCTTCTGCCGAGACCCTCAAATGATATAGACAGCGAGCCCAGGGGGAGGTGAGCCCAAAGGGGCTGCTGCCCCCGCTCCCCCAGCCCCGTCCCCCAGCTCCCAGCACAGGGCTGGCTGCAGGTGCTCTGAGACCCCGACCTCATCCAGGTCCTTGCGCACGTCTTCCAGGGCCTCAGTGCCTGGCGGGTCTGCATCTGCCCCCTGAGCACCGTCCAGCTCATGGCGCCAGTGCCGCTGGGCAGCTTGCAGAACTGTCTGCCGCCTCCGCATAGAGCGTGTCTGCCGCACCAGGAACTCCTTGGCACTCCGGAGAGCTATCCCCTCAGCAGAGACGTAGTGCTGGATGCTGTGGGAGGGCAGTTCAGGGCTGGAGAGTTGGAGAGGGAAAACATTCCAGAAACCCGTGCTGTGGGTCACTCGACCACATGCCAGCAGATGCCCACCCTGAGCAGACCACTGGGCTACGGCAGGGGCGGGGCGATGTGGGGATGCCACCGTTAAACACCATGTTGCATTTCATGCATTGTACCGAGTCCCCCACAGTGACCGAGGGTATGGCACCTAAGGCCTCCAGACAGACACCCCACGAGCCTGGTCCTCAACCAGAAGTCAGCAGACCTCACATGTTGTGTCAAGGGTCACAATGGGCACCTGTGTGGCTTTGCCAGAGAAAACCCCTCAGGCCCCCTTCCCTGAACTGAGCCCCATGGGTGACAGCTGTCACCTCACGTCAGCACCTCTCTGCTCTGTGACGCAGGCAGTCACTGACCCTTTCACAGCATCCTCACCCAAAGTAAGACAGACTACTGGAACTCACCTGTCCAAGGACAAGCCAGTCTCCTCCTTGCTCTGGGAGAGGGCAGGGGACGCCTCTTTGGTTTGGTTCTAAGAACACACGGCAGGAAAGGCCCATCAAATTCAACAAAATCAGATACACTGCAGCTCAAAGGACTCCAAAGCCCTCCCCGGGGCCGAGACACGGCAGTGGCTCTCCAGCTGCGAGGCCCCACTCACTCACTCACAGACGCCGTGGGACCGGACATGTGGGGCTGGGAATGGGAGAAGCCGGAGGCTACGGGTCTGTACAGGGCAGAGCAGGAGCCCTGCCAACGCCCCAGTGCCCCCAGAACTGGCCCTTGCCTGGACTGCCCTTCCTCTGTGGTGCCCCAGCCCAGCCACCCTGTCCCTTCCAAGGCGCAGAGCAGCTCACAGTCCCAAGGGACGCCCTCAGGTCCTTGATGTGGAGATCTGGCTCAGAACATGGGGCATCACCCTCCTCGACTGCCAGCCCTTTCGACATGTCCTGCTTCCTCTGAACTTGGGCCTCCAGGTCCCTGTGGTGGGAAAGGGAGGTGAGCAGGGTCACATGATAAAGCAGCTGGACAGCTGCCAGGGCTCCCAGTGTGAGGGAGGGCGCAGGACCACCTCCACCCCTTCGCTTCCGTCCTATTCCTTGAGGCAGGGCTGGGGCAGGACTGGCAGACCCAGGGCTCCCCAGCTGTTCACAGCCTCTTAACAGCCCCCAACTCGCTACAAAATGCAGCAGACTAACCCTCTGCCCAGCTCCCCCTCTGCCTGTTCAGTGGGCCATGAAGACACAGGGTGCATGAGCAGCAGAGGGCAGGTGAGAGGCAGCAGGGGTGGCTCCGTGCAGGGTGCCCACAGCACCTGACATGCTTCTGCAGCCTCTGACTCCGGGCCTGCAGCTGCTCCACCTGGGACTCCAGCTCCAATCTGCGGTCCTGCAGCTCATCGAGAATCCTTTGCAGCTGCCGGTTTGACTCCAGCAGGTGGGTGTGCTCCTTCTTCGCCTGCCCCAGGGTGGCTGCAGCTTCCTGAGGACAAAAGAAAAGATAGGAACCCCCGCGTATCTTTGGCTCTGGTTTCAAGTCACCTCTAAATCCTAGAATTTCCTTTCCTGCTCAGAAAGGTAGGAGGAGAGAAAGAGGGGAAGGCAGGAAGCAAGCAGCAGCAGAGGACAGGGAAGCCCAAAGAGCTGGGGAGAGAGGTGCGGCCAGCGTGTCTGCGGCCCGCGCACAGGCTCCCGTCCGCCCCCAAACCCGAGGCCCCCGAGCTGGATTCCACGGGGTGGTGCTCTCTGTGGCATATCGGCCAGCATAGTTTGGAATTCCAAGGCCCTGGACGGGTCAGCTGGACAAAAAGCAGGCTACGGGGTGGAAGAAGGGAAGGAAGGGGAAGGAACAGGGGGGAGACAAAGCAGGGCGCACTGGAGGGGCAGACAGACCTGGCTCTCCAGCGCCACCCGCCTCTGCACATCGAGGAGCTGCTGCTGCTCCCTCCGGGCAGCCTCCTCCTGCAGGGGAAGGGCAGGCGTGGAGCCCTGGGGCCTTCGTCTCCAGGCCCCGGGCCCCAGGCCCCAGGCCCGAGGGGCAGGAAGGACGGGCCCACCCTCTCTGTGGAGCCATCACTCCCAGGTCAAGGGCACCTGGAGGTCCTGTACTCCACCCTGGCCCCCCCACCTGGACGTCCAGCTGAGCCAGTCTGGCCTTGACATCTTTGGTTCTGGCTTCAAGTTCCCCTTCTAAATCCTGGAATTTCCTTTCCTGCGCGGAAATGTAGGTGGAGAGAAAGATGTGCATGTAGGATGAACATAAGGCTTCGGCTGCGGGGCGGGAAGGGGCTCTGAGCCGCCATACCAGGCCTCACACTCCAGGCCAGGCTCCTTCGCCCGGGGCCTCCCAGGAAAGCAGCCCCTTGTCTCCTCCCAGTGAGGGGAGGCAAAGGCTCTGACCCCAGGGCCCGAAGGGGCCGGACGCTCCCCCTGCAGTGACGTGCCCTGGCCCAGCAAACGGAGGGGCCAAGGAGCCCCAGCCTGGGAGGCCCGGGAGGCCCCCACTCGGGAGGCTCTCAGGCCCTGTCCCCCTAGCACTTACCTGCCCTGCACGGGGGTGGCAGGAGGCTCACCCACCCCAGCCCCAAGTGTCTGCCCAGAACCCCACCTGCTCCCGGTGCCGACGCCGCAGGTCCTCCAGCTCCCACTCGTGGGCCTTCCGCAGGCGCTCTCGCTCCCTGGCCAGGCGCCCCAGGAGCTCAGCCCGCTGCCTACTCTCCTGCGCAGGGCGAGGGCCGCCGGTAGGAAAGTGCAGCGGCCCTTCACAGCCTGAGCCCACAGCCCGCAGCCCCTGCAGCCTCGGCGCAGTGAGGTCAGCGCCCCCCCCCTCTTGGGGCCAGTTCCTCGAGGGAGGACAGCATCAAGGCTGGCAGGGCTCCTGTCCCCGAGAGCACCTCCGCCACTGACGCAGGCATCAGACTGGCGTCCGAGGAGGAGCTGCCTCTCCTACTGCCAAATGGAACTTTCCCACCTCAGCCCAAAGCTGAAGATGGGCAGATACCTAAATACTGTTGGGCTCTTGCCAGTCTACTTCTTAGTGTCCTGGCATTCCAGTTAGCTCTGGTGGCATGGGGCTGGGGGGTTAAAGGGGAAGGCTCTGGAGTCAGTCTGGACTGTTATTCCCGCCCCTCTACCTGCTAGCGGGGGGGCTTGGGGAAGTCGCTGACATGCCCCTGTCTCAGTTTCCTCATTTTCAAAGGGAGGTAATGGGAGTACATACTCCCCAAGGGTGCTGTGAGGGCGAAACGAGTTCACACACACACAAGGCTGAGAGCAGTGCGGGCGCAGTGTGCGCCGAGTACACGTGAGCCATTATTTCTACGGGAGCGAGGTGGGCTGCCCAAGAGGGCACCACACTTCATCTCCAGCTTTACTGAAAAGGAAAACAGGACCTCAGCACAGCAGGGCGCGGGTGCCAAGGAAGGAGGCCCGCACGGTCTCGGAGCACAGCTGCCCCTTCCGCTGCCCTCCGGCTGAGGGAGGGCCCCCAGGGGGTGTGCACGTGAGCGCGCGCCAGGGCTGAGGCCCGGTCACCTCAGCTGCATACTGCTCTCTGGCCTCGGCCACCGCCCGCTGGTGCTCCTCCTTCATCCTGCCCATCCTCCTCTCGTGGTCCCTCTCCACCTCCTGGCGCTTCTCTCTCAGGAGGCCGTCGATCTGCAGGGCAACAGGCAGGGCCGAGAGTGGACCAGCAACTCGGGACCCGTGCACACATGCAGCGCCTCACGCCTGCCCATCGTCCCCCATGCGCACATGACACACACAGCCCTCCTCCAGCCCCCTCCCTGCACAAGTAGAGGGCCATGGGGGCAGAGAACTAAGGCTAAAACCGGGGCAGAAGTTCTAACCCTACCGGAGACACCAGCAGCAAAGCAGAGGAGCTCTGGGCCAGGCCAGGCAGACCACCCACAACAGGTGCCCGCCAGGCCGAAGCAGCGGACCAGCACTCACCTCCCACTCGTACTCCAGCGCTCGGTGAACTTTCTGACGCGCTCTCTGCTCTGCCCACTCGAGGCTCTCCTGCAGCTGGGCCTCCTCTTTCTGCTGTGTGTCCTCTATTTTCTTCTGGAGGCTGGACACCACCTGAGGAGGCCCCCGGGGAGTGTGACAGTCAGCACAGCAGAGTGGCCGCGGGGACTCTTGTTGCAGCACCCAGCACCTATCCCCACGGGCCAGGGGGAGAGGGAGGCTCCCTCCCGAGCGGCAGGGGTGGGGCTGGGTCCTGCTGCCATGACGGGGTGCTGAGGTTCGCCCTCAGGGGCCAGGACACCCAGGCCCCGCCTCCCAGGCCAGGGCACTGCCTCTCACTTCTCGGTGCTTGGCCTCCCGTGAGGAAGACAGCCGCTGCAGCTCAGCCCTGTGCTCCCTCTCTAGTGCTGCCACAGCCTGGGGAGCAACAAAGGGCCTGTGAAGGACGCAGGGCAGGCTGCCTGGCACTGCCCCGGGGGAGGAGCCGGGAAGACCATCCCCAGCACCCCTTTGAGCTGAGCGGCCGAGCGGAGCCACAGGCATGTCTGTGTTCCTCTGAAATCGCTCCGGCCCTCAAGTCTGCAGCTAGGAGACGAGGAGGAGCACGAAGGCCCGAGTGGAGGCGTTTCAGTGGGCCTCGGGCACGCAGCTGCTGCTGCTGAGTGAGACCCGAGGCGGGGAGGCCTGCAGGTCTGGGCGCGATGCCCCGGCACGCGGAGCCCGAGGCGGCTCTCCTCGTCTGAGAGCTGGAGCTCCGCACTCCACCAAAGGAGAACAAGCTGCACATGGCCTGTCCCCTGCTCCAGCCTCTCCCCTGGAGACGGGCACCTGATTGCGGGGACAGGGCCTGAGGGAGGCAGAGGGAGTCCTCCTGAGGAGCTACTCTAAGACGGGAGGAGGGAGAGGGAGGGAGGGACAAGGCACCCTTGTTTCAGGACCTCTGGTCTCAGTTCCCAGGGTGGAATCTTCCCAAGCCCACAGGCCACGTCCCCTCGAGCGTCTGCGCTGCCGCTGAGGGCACTGGCCCGACCGGCCGCGGGGGGAGCCTCTGGGCACCGGCCGTAGCCCCGGCCGGGGCTGGCACCTCCCGGGGGCCCACACGGAGCCCCCCAGGCGGCACAGGGGCAGGTCAGAGGGGAGGCCCCGCTCTGCCCACTCACCCCCTTCCTCTCCTCCTGCAGCTGCTCCCTCGGCTGCCCCAAAGCCGCCTCCTCCCCCGCGTTCAGGGCGGCCTGCTCTCCCTTCTCCGCAGCCTTCGCCTCTTCCCTGAGCTGCTCCAGCGTCCGTCTGCTTCTCTGTTCCAAGCTGGCCCTCTCCGCCTTCTCTAGCGACTCCAACTCTTCCCTCCGCCTCTGCAGGGAAGCCTCTTGCTGGGCCCTGGGCACACAGAGGGCACGGGATGGGCCTGGGCCCTCGGGACGGCCTCCCCGGGCCGGGCAGGCCCCAGGGTGCCCTCACCTGATCCGGTCCTCTTCGGCCTCTGCCTGCGCCCAGAGCCGGGCCAGCCTCCGCCCCTCCTCCTCCCTCATCCGAGCCTCCTCTCCCTCGGCGGCTCTCTGCAGCTCCTCCCGCAGGGCACTGGGAGGGCGAGGAAAGGCGAGCTCACTGGGGGGCCCACTCGTTCATTCATCGCCCAGCTCACAGCCTCCAAAGCCTGTAGCCTGCCTGTGAAGCTTCCTGAGTCTTACAGGCCTCGGCCTCCGGGTCCTGCTGCCTCCCCACAATACCTCCCCGGGCAAAGAGGCGGCCACGAGCCCCACCGTGAGCTCGCTTTGCCACCGGAAATGGACGACAGGCTGCTTGGCCTCAGAACAGCGTTTCTACCAAAGCTCCCCCCTGCGCTGGGTCCACCGCAGCACAGCCCTCACTCGGGGCCAGGCGCGTCTGCCCCCGCCACCACTCTGCTCCCACCTCCTTCCACCCCCACCCACAGGACTCTGTTCTAGGCACACGGGACGAGCCACCCCCTCGGGCCCACCACACTCCTGCTGCCTTCTAGCCTGTGCTCGGGCTGCTCCTCTCCCTAGCTTCCCTCTCTACCTGATGAACCCACGTTCGTCATTCAACACGCAGCCCCCTCCTCCCAGAGAAGTCTTTCCAGCTCCCTCCGGTTCATCAGTTCGGCCTTCCTGTTCCGTTGCCCTTTGTAGAAGACCTCTCCTATCCTTTACCGCCATGTACCGCACATCAGATTGCACTGTAATTAATCTTTTGTGCATCTGTTTTCCTTACAAGTCTGAGAGCTTCAAGAAAGAAATCTCGTCTTAGAATCTGTAATAACCCAGGTGCTGAACACGGTAACTGACATGAAATAGGTGCTCAATACATGTTCACTGAATTTGAAAAGTACACCAGCCCCAGACTATAGGCAAGCGTTGTTTGTGGATGAGGGTATCTTATTCACAAACCAGTGATGGAAACCAGTTCACCCCAAGAGGACATCCCCCCACTTACACAAATCACGTCATCCTCACAGGTGCACTCAGGGAATTCAAGCCCAAGAAAACCATGATTCAGGAGACGATTTCTTTGGAAAGCGTACTGAATTCTAAAGCCAAAAGAGACTTAGGACTGTTTCCTATTTCAAGCTATCTACACCACTACTGTCTTTCACTATGATAGAAAATTTGAGTTAAATAAAAATCCTTCCTTCTAGACTACCCAGAAATGCTTCTCTTTATTCTATGGCTGAATTTGTATATAATACCACAGAATGTTAGACCTGGGAGGGCCTTTAGAGGTTAAGTCCTCCATTTTACAACTCTTTCTCTTCACCTTATAACTAAACTCAATCTCTCGAGTTTACAACTTAAGAAACTAAGGATCAGCCTGCCTATCTTTCTCCCTGCCTTCTCACTCAAGAAATATTTTCTACAAGGTCAGCTGTGGCTTCCAGAAATTTCTACCAAGTAGACATTTACCAGAAGAGAGGAGGCCCCACCCCTCAGAAAGGCTCATAAACAGAAACAGGGTTCTAACGACGAACTATTCCAAAGAGAGTCAAGCAAGACACGGCCAACAGAGAAGTCACACAGCCAAGGCCTCTGGAATTGTACTGATCTCACCTGAAAACCAAGAGCTACCATTTCTTGAGCAACTCCTGTGTTTCAGGCCCTGAGCCAGACACTTCTGGCATGCTCGCCTTCCCCACAATCTAACAGGGCCCCCAGACACCCTCTGGATTTCAGGGATTGGGGGAGGGGTGCAAAGCACAGTCAGCCAAGCCCAGAAGAGGAGGAGAAGTCTGGTCGGCTGGCAGGGAATCACCCCGGGATTTCCTCCTGGGAGCTGCTTCCCAAGGTGAGCTGAGCCATAAGCTGCTTGCGGGCGGTCAGGAGACCGACCCCCAGTTTTCAGGTGGCTGGAAGAGGATGCTGGGGAAGATCGATCTTCGGGATGCTCCCTGGCAGGGGATCCGGGAGGGGTGATACAAGGACGGAGCATGCGTCAGTGGGTCCTGCGATGGGCTAATGGGAGAGAACTGTCCCCCACCCACGGGGTAATCAGGTGTTGGTGTTCTGTGAGTGTCTCTAAGTTAAGCATAAACGTTTTATATTCTCTTTGCTGTGACCATATAAAAACAGTAAGTTCCTTTGGATGCCTCTGTCCAAGAGGATAGGATTGAGTCTTTAGTTAAATTGTCAGGTAAAGAAATACATTAACACCTTTTTGGAGCACCTTTCCCACCCTAGAGCTGTGACAGAGGTTGCTTATTACCTTCTCAATATCCGTTCTCCCATTTTCCCTTACAAACAGAACCCTGAGTCTATTCTGTTAGGTAAAGAGGCCCAGCTAAAGACTACATTTCCCAGTCTCCTTTGCAACCAGGGGCAATCAGTGAGATATAGGCAGAAATTGTTGGGTAACATTGCCAGCAAAACTCTTCAAAGAATAAACAGAAGTTATTGGGTAAAGTTTCCAAGAGGTGCCTAAAAGGGACTGACTGAGCTAAAAGGTGTACTCTTCCCCTATTCTTCCTGCCTGGGGGACATACACGATGGCTAGAAATCAGCAGCTATGCTGGACTGTGAAGAGACCCTGAGAATAAAAACCAACACTAAAGAAGGCAGGGAGATTAAAGGAGTCGGGGGGTACCTAGCGACTCCACGGAGCCACTATGCCAGTGCAGACTGCCTTGTCTTATAAAAATAAGACTCTAGTTTGTTTGCACGTAGATACACACAATCACATTCCCACAGGCCCAGCCCAGGCTGAAGCATCCTATTTGTCTAGGGCCTCCCAGTCAGCTACTCAGAGAGTAGAAACCCAGACAGGAACTTCTGGGTCCTGGGCAAGAGGACCTCACACTGCATGGTCCCAACAGGCCCGGACTCCCGAGAGGTCACCTCAGAAGTGAAGAAAGCAGGCTCCAGAGAAAGACCGCCTGGGCTGACCTGGGCTCCGCTGTGTATCAGCATCAACAGAAAAGTCACTCCACCTTTCTGTGCCTCGGTTTTGTCTCTCTCACAGATCCCAAAAAATGGGGCCGGTAACACCTCATAAGAGCCGTTCTCAGGACTAAATGAATTAATAGAATTAAAGCACTCAAAAAATGTCAGCTATCCCCACTGTTGCCAAGGGCACGAGCCTTGGCCAGGAAGCCCATTCCTCCAGCCCAGCCATCAAGGAGGAATCTCGGTGGGGCTGGGGAGGGAGGAGGGGGTCCTCGCTCCCCAGGCCACTGCAAGGCCGGGCACCTGTCTAAGGGGCGGGGGGGGGCAGGACCTGAGAGCCTTCTCCTTCTGCCGGCGGAGCTGCAGGGTCTCCTCTTCTGCCTCCTGCTGCAGCTTCTCTCGCAGTTGCTGCATCTTCTCTTGCTTCGCCTCCAGGAGCCGCCTCTGGTCTTGCTCGAGTTCTTGGGCCACTGCCTCTTCCCTGGCCTGCAGGGTGGCCTCTGAGAGCCTCTTCTGGGGCATCGCAGCCTCTGCCAATTGCCTACCAAGGGAGGGGAACAGCATTTCACTAGTCTGAATGCCCACCCACCTTTGGGCATGGGGGTTAAACACACATCCTCATGGAGGACCCCCGATCTGGAATCACACATGCCAATCAGGTCACTCAAGGGTGGGCAGTAAGACTGCCCCTCTCAAGGACACAGGCAGCACCTGTTCGACAGGACAACCCCCTGTGGCCGTCTAAGGCCCTGAGAGCCCTGGGCAAAGAGCCACAACAGGCTCTCCGCGGACTGCAGGCTGTGCCCGAGGTGAAAGCCTAGAGACGTGGCTCGAGAGCTGGAGGCAGCAGCGGGAGATGGAGGCTCTGTCCCCACGGATTCTCCCAGGACGGTTCACGGCCCGTCTCGGCCTCCCCACTGGGCTCTGCTCTCTACTTGAGCCTCATGCCAGCAGCGTGGCAGGTCCTCAGAGGCTGCCCTGCCTCCCAAACTGAACAGAGGCCAAACCTAGGAGCCAGCAGGAGAAGCAACAGCGTGTCTCCTGACCCTGAGACCCGGAATAGGCCGCAGAGGTGTGGAAATGGCAAATCCGCACCCCACAGCCAAGGGAGCCGGGCAGGAGACCACTCCCCCAGCCGAAGAAAGGGGCAAGGGCACAGCAGGGCCGCCAGGCACACCGCCCCTCATCTTCACTGCTCTGACTTCATTTGAAGCGGACAAAAGAAAGGCAGGGCTCACCTGGGCGCATGGTGGGTGCTAAGGTAAGGGGTATGGTTTGGGTTAAGAAGACGTCTATGATGTAATGAAGGCTGTTTGTATTCTGGTCCTTGAAGGAAATACCCAAAAAGAAACCCCAAGAATATTTGGAGCAACGAGAGCTTAAGCAGGATGAAGTATTTCACCCCCCAGAGCAGCTTTTCTAAAGCCAGCCCACGTCTGCCCTCCCAGGTCCCTAGATCTGAGGTTATAAATTGGTCTCGCCACACAACCGGCACCTTTCCCGCCATGCGCAGGCTGTGGCAGGCTGGCACGGTGCCCCAGGCAAACTAGCAGCATGCAGGTGTGGCCATGAACAAGAACAGCACTGGGCAAGAGGAGAATAGGGGCGCCTGTGGACACGGGACCCCCTTCCCAGCCCAGCTCCAGCGCTGCAGAGGACAGAAAGTAGTGGGAAGGCCCCATGAGACGGCAGAGAGAACGAGGACCTCGGAATTCCACGGCAGTCCCTGGAGATCCGAGAGAGAGGGATGCCACAGACGGCTGCGGAAGGCTCCGAAATCTCATGGAGGTCTTTCCTTCCCCTTTCCTAACACGTAACAGGCCAGAAACAGTCTTGAGCCACGCCCCCCATTCTCTTCTGCCCCAAACTGCACCTCCTCCCTCCCTCCAATTCCTGGCTTCCTCTCAGTCCGCCAGCAGCCCCCCCGGTGCAGGTGTAAGAGGGGTGGCCACCATCTGAAACCCCTGCCTCAGCAAGAGCCTCCCGCAGCTGGCCGCCTCATCGACCTTCAGCTCATTTCCAGCCTTGGCTGGGGACGCATTTTTCCCTGCGATGGTGCCTTGTGACGTCTCTCTCCCCTGCGGGCCTCACAGCTACGCGGAGCCCTAGGGACACACGCTGCGGGAACACAGGCCCTCGGCGGCGCGGCAGCGTGTGCCCAGGCTGCACGCACCCGTGGCCTTGCTTGCATACCTGGCACACATCCTGTGGGTCTCCTCTCCGTGTCCCTGTTTTAAAGATCTAGTATCCGCAACGCCCAGCGAGGGCCAGGGCAGTCAGCAATGGGCCTGCGAGAGCTACGAGACACTGGCAAGGATAGGACTCCACAGGAAAAAGGCAGGTCTGGTTTCTAGGCCGCTCCTCAGGTAACAGCACCAGTGAGACCCAGTTTCCAAGAGTTAGTGGCCAAGAGGAGGCTCTGCAGGCGCACTGTCCTCTCGGGCTGGCCACCGAGCATCTCCCAGGCGCGAAGGAGGGCCGGGAGGACAGGTGGGAAGGAGGGGAAAGAGCGGGAGGGATCGGAAACGGCCAAACTGGGACCGCAACCAAGGAGACCCTGTCTTCTTTTGCATTCGACCCAGTGGGTTTGATTCGGTTACTCTCTGCCCACAAACCCCTCATGCAAGCTGCTCGGCTGACACAGGGGAGGATATCCCTGTTTCCCAGACCCAGGCCCCCGGCCACACGGCGGGCCTGGCAGCGGCTGTTTGCCAGCCCTGCCCACTGGGCCTGCGCTTGGCTCCCCACTCCTGGTTCGGCTTGACAGTATCTAAGAAAGGTGACAGACTCTATTAATCCTGGTCTTTATTTTCTGTATTTTATGATGTCTTGACGTCTTAGAAAGCTTGCTGCTGGAGGAGAGACTGCCCCTCCCAGGACTAGTCGATTCTGATGGATAGCCAGGGAAACATGTCTTTCAGATGCAAACCGAACAATCCTGAGGCTGTATCCCGACACCACCTCCTTTCTAACGCACACCAAGCCATACTTCCTCCACCCGAGATGACCCAGGACCAGGTAACAGGCAACTAGGGACACGGCACAGCCCAAAGCCCACCAGAAGTTTTCCAGCTATCCAATCCCACACTCACTCAGGGTACCCACCTTGGCTGGTCCACTCCTTCCCTCAAGAACCCCAAGGAGGATTCTGGGCCACGCTCCCCCTCCTCTTCTCTTCTACCTGCTGACCAGTCCAGGCCCTTCCCCAGGTGGCCCTGCGTCGCGTGGCAGGCCCTCTTCTCTCTAGGAATGTAAGGAATAAATTCTTATTTCAGTGGCATTGGTCTTTCTGTGTTGTCACTCAGTCACCCTGAAAATTAAAATCCCATATACAAGTACAACAGACACAGGGCAACACCCCGCTGAACCCAGAAAAATCAATCCATCCTTAGTGTTAGTAAAGATTAACAACAAGGACGTTACAGGGCCTGAAAAGACGCAGGAAAGAAAGAAGATGTTTCCTAAGTGTACTGTGCAAACGGAAATTGGTGGTCAAGGTGGGTGTGTCTGCGACCCCAGCAGGGGCAGCCTCACTGGGAAGGGAGGAGAAACGCAGCCGGGGGGCTCACTGCCCACAGCAGGCGGGGAGGAACTCACTGCCCAGCTCCGCTCCCAGAGGCCCCCGGGGATGCCCCTGACCTGCCCACGGGGTCTGTCTCTGAGCCACATTCCCTCCGTTCTTACAGAAAGCACCCTGATCTGGCTGTCCGCGGCCACGGGGACGGGGGAAGCCGTGCCACTCCTTAGGGTCAGAGATGTCATTGCAGGATCGACCCCTTCCCTACACCCCCCTGCAGCGCCATGCTGACCCAGGGGCTGCTGCCTCTCTCGGGGCCGCTCCTGTGTGTGATCAGTGCGCAAGCCTGTCTGCCCGACAGTCAGCCCCGCACCCTGAGGGCTCACAAGCCTTCTGCACTGCTGGGCTCCCAGTGGGGAAACTGACCGCAGCCTGTCTCTCTCCATGCAGAGAAAGGCAGCAGTGGCTGCAGACTAAGCCGAGGGCCCCAGTGACTGGCGTCCAGTCCCAGGGCTCCAGCTGACTGGCGACGCGGCCTCGGCAAACCCCTCTGCCTCTCTGGGCCTGTTTCCCTCACGTGTAAAAGGGGTGAGAGAGCGGAAGGTGGACATGGAGGAGGAGAGCTAAGTGATCTGAGTTTCAGAAACGCTGCTGCTGAGCCGCGAACCCAGGCACAGAGGCATGTGGCGCACGCCAGTGACCCCACCGGTGGGGGTGGAGACCAGGGAGAGGAGCATGAGGCACAGAGGCCAGGACAGCGGCAGCCTGGGGCTGGGGAGTGAGAGGGGAGGGGCTGAGGAAACGCAGCAGGGCCAGAGAGGTTCTACACCGGGCCTGGGCGGCTGCTGCGTGGTGCAGACACATGGGAACATTCACGGACTGCACAGTTCAGATTTGTGGACTTTCATGTACATAAATGCCTCCATAAAAAATTTTTTTAAAGAGAAAGTGGTGCTTGGTAGAAAGGAAAACTTGATTTGCCAGGTTTCTGCCTGTGACCCAGGAGGTACACTCTACTCTCCTCCCTCACACCCCAGCTTCTGACCAGGAGCCCACCAACCTAAGCTGACCCCACACAAGGATCTGTGACCACAGCTGCTTGGGGGTCTCAAGGCTGCACACAGAACCAAGGGCAAACCCCCTCCTCCCCCTCCATCCCCAGGCAGAGGCCACAGCATCCCTCCCCACCAGAGGGGACGGGGTGCTCAGCACCGTGGAGGACAAGGACAGACATCAAATCGGGCCCTTACATCTCCGGGGAGACCAGTGGAGTAGGGCTGCCCGCCACCTTCTCGGACTCCTCGGCCTCTTCCTGCCCAGGGCCCAGCTCCTCAGCCCCAGCGCACTGCTCCTGGCCCCTCCCGTGGACAGCAGGCGGGCTTGGGACCCCCTCCCTTAATAGCAATAAGGAAGCAATTGTGTTAAAGCCAGTAGGAAGGAAAGAGGCCCAAGGTGTACCCCACTTGGGGAGGTAGCCCTAACAAAGCCTCCCTGCCTCGGGCCCTGAGCCTCACTCCCCACTCCCTGCCTTTTTCCAGGCTGTTTACACTGAAGACCACAGACTCATATCCACATGGAATGCGGATGGTTAGGGTGCCTAAGGAGAAGCTCTGCACACAGCAGACGCTCAGTGGATGCTGGTGACTGAACTGCCGCTCCTCAGCTCCGCCCAGGGGCTCATGCCGACTGAATGTGCTCTGAGGCCAGCATCCTTCTCGCGGGGGAGACAGAAGAACCAGCGATCGTACACGGGGCTCTGGGCCAGGCCGGGGCACAAAGGTCCCCTCAGCTGGCCTCAGGGAGGCCTGGGACTCTGCACCCTCCACCCCCAGGGCCTGGCACACAGCCAGGCTCTGGCTTGCTGACAGCAAGAAGTGGGCTGACTGTGGGAGCAGGGCTGGCAGGCTGGGCACTGAGGTGAATGGCCACAGCACCTCTGTCCCGGCCCCTGGTAGGGAGGCGGCTAGGTCACAAGAGATGCTTCCTTCATTCAAGGGCTTCTAAGCTCCCCTAATCAGATGGTACCCCACTTTCAGCTATGGCCCACGCGTGAGGAAGAGGAAGAGGCAGGCCTTCTCCTTCTCTGGCTAACCTGCGATTGTTGCTGCGACTGCACACCCACCCCAGCTCTCCCCCTCTCCCCAGGCTCTCTCCCTGCCCCGCCTGGCTCAGCCCCGACACACACAACATACTACACACAGGCCCCTGCCGCCCGGGAAGTTTCCAGCTCACCCTTACCTCGGCAGGGACACGGGCGACAGGCGGCTGCCTGCAGGGCTCTCCCTGGGCTCTTCCGCCCCCTTGCGCTCCAGGGCCTGCGTGGGCCCCTCCTCGACGGGTTGGCAGTGGAGGGGACCCTGGAGCCTTTCCTCACGCAGAAGGGGAGGAGATGACCTGGCCAGAGCAGCCAGAGCAGCAGTCAGGCCCCTCCATTTAGAGAGCAGGAAGAGAACTGGGCAGTGGAGTATGTGGACCCAGGTCCAGTCCTCCTCCCGGCTGGACCCCAGCCCTGGCCCCACATCCATGGAAGCCACGGAGGTCAAGGCAGCCAGAAAAGCGGGAAGGAGAAGCTCCCTACCGAGTTCACCCTTTGCTGGCACTAGACTCAGCCTCCCTGGGCCCCTGCACTGTTTGCTCGGCCCAGGACTGAGAGCCAGACACACTCATAGGTGTGCCCATTCCCAGAGCTCACCATCAAGGAGGGGTGCAAGGACTGAGCAGAAAAAGAGAAGCCACATTCCAGTGGTGAGACAACAGAAAATGCATGAAACTGTAGCTTTAGGAAGTAGGAATGCTGATAGCTTTTCAGGATCCAGAAAGTAGAATGACTGCTCCCCCTCCCACTTCCAGGGTGGCAGCCCTTCTGTCATCATGAGCCCAGGCCCGAGAAGCTAGAAGCCCTGGCACTCTCTCTGTCTCTCTGTCTCTCTTTCTCTCTCTCACACACACACACAAACACTTTGCAAGGTCGATCGGTCAGCCCATCAGCCGCCTTCAGGCAGGAGCGCCAGGCTGAGCCATGCAGACCAAAGCCGGGAATTCTGCCCCAGTCCATGCAGTGCTCAAGGTCCCTGAGGGCAGCCTCCCAGGCCCCATACCTCTGCGAGCCTTTGGACGGCTTGCTCTGCAGCTCATCCTGGCTGGACTGGCTGTCATCCTTGCCTCCTCTTTCCAACCTCTGGGCCTGCAGGCAAGTAGCAGTGTAAGGGGTATACTGGAGGGGTCTGCACTAGATCCCTCAACTGACGCCCACCCTGAGAAGTGGCTTGAGTGGACGAGGACCCCTGAGGACACAGAGAGAAGGCCTGCCTACTGTCCAGTGAAGCCTCCTGGGACTTGGGCTGAGCCCCCAGGCTCACAGCTGCTCCCAGGGCCAAGCCTTCCTGGCCTAGGGGAGGATGAGCCAGACGCTGCAGTCAGAAGACAGAGGCTAAAGGAGAACACAAGGAACAGAGAGGCCTGCCTCCTGCAGTCGGAAGCCTCCACGGCAAGTTGCAGAGAGAAAGCAGAGACATCCATTAGCACCCCAGACCCACAGTGGACCCAGACACCCAGCATCTGTGATGTTCAGGGAGGCTGAAATAGAGTGGGCAGAACTGGGAGCAGCAGACAAGCACATTAGAGGAAGGATCCTGGAGGACACAGTGACTTGGTGAGATGACAGCCCGCTATCCCCATGGAATGGGCACCATTTGGGCACCTCAAGGGAGAAAGACTCAGCACCCCTTGGCTCCCTCCAAGCTCCCCTGTGTACCCGGATCCCCCTAGCAGACAATGACACCCCTTCCCAGTCAGGGATTTCTCCATCCATCCAGATGCTCCCCCCACCCCCCAAATCTCATGATAAAGCCTGGGCATCTAGACAAACCTAGCAAGCTGGTGAGAAACAGGACTATTCTCGGTACGTTCAAATGTTTCCTGCAGGGTGGAGCCACGCGGGATAGTAGGGTAGTTGGCCTGGACTCAACCCCTTGTTCTACCCCTTCCTAGCCGGGAGGCGGCCTGCCCGCCGTAAAGCAGGGCGGTAACCCACAGCACACAGGGCTGCTGGCGGGGATTAAATGAGATCACATACATAAAGCCCAACTGTGAGCCAGAGAAGACATGCCACCAATGTTAGCTCCTCTGCTCACACTCCTCCCCTCTCCCCAGCCTAAGGCAGAAACAAAAAACGAGGCACAAAAACCAGCTTTGCCAGTGCCAGGCCCCACCCGAGGCCCTGCACTCCTCCACCGCACTGAAGGAGCCCGTGTGTTCCGGGACACAAGGGTTAACAGGCGCGGTGGGGCAGGAGACAGCGCACTCCATCTTCCCCCAGAGGGGCTCCAGCCAGGCTGGCACACTGCTCTGGCTCCAGCCCTGTGCCCACAGCCCCCACACTGCTCCACGGGCAGCCTGAGCCCCAGCAGCTGCGGCCCACTCTGCCATCTGGATGGGCGAGAAAGGGCAGGGCCTGAACTAAAAGCCAGCTCCCCCAAATTACATTAAAAATAGAAACGCTGCCTGTGAGGAGCTCCCGGAGCCCGCAGCAGAAGGGCCCCCCACCAGCACTGCCGCTCCGAATCGCGTCCGCCTGGGCAGAGCCTGCAGACAGCGGCGGGCACAAGCCCTTCCCCTCGCCTCTTCCTGCCAGTGCACCTCACACCGGTCTCCCCTGACAGTCACACCGAGCTCAGCGACAGCTCCCTCTCTCGCTTTTCAAGAAAAATAAATTACACAGGCCAACTAATTTAAGCAACCAAAATATAAGATGGGTAACGAAGTGGGGTGATCACAGTAAAAATCGGGAGACTGAGCCCCGAGTCAGAAAGGACTAACTACAAAGTCTATGTGTTTCCTCTTATTTCACCTTCCATATTTCTGCAGGAAACTGAGCTGGCCCCCTGCTAGAAAAAGGGGGACACCTGGGAAAGTACCCAGACAGAGGTTGAGTAGTTTTACTTGATCCCAAGACTTTTTTGCCCCAGAAAAGAAACAAAAGGACCGAAACGCTGAGGTGAGCCATGCGAGCCTCCTCACAAAGGGCAGACCCGCAGGCACACTGAGAGTCTCTGGCCTAAGACGGCTCCAGACACCGTTTCCCCGCCCCAAACTCAGCTCCGGGATTTTGTATTTATGATCCAGTCCTCAGTTAAAATAAATCTTGGTGCATTCATAAAGCAGAATGCTATGCAACCAATAAAAAGAGGAAGGTACACTGGGGTCTATTCTCAAACTGAAGGAGCATACTGCCAAGCAGCTGTTGTAGCACATTCCCAGTTTGCGTGGGAAGAAAAAGATAAATGAACAGAATATAGATGTGCTTATATATACATAGAAAAATGTCTAGAAAGGCACACAAAAAATGTTGGACACTGTTAATAGTCCCTGCCTGTGGGAGTAAGGCTTTAACCTTCTGTATTATTTGAAATAATTTTATGGTCACTTTTATAATATTTTATAAAAGTTATCATTACTGCTTTGTACATGAACAGGTGGTCAATCCTTGGGTGCTAAATGATTAAACAACAGATAAATATATGGGGGGTCGGGGGATAACTTAATTCATAGCAGCAACAGAGCAGAAATGGCCAGAAGCACCCACAGACACAGTCAGGGCCCTGCCTTACGGCACTGGGAGGGAGAGGACTCCCAGATGGACCCTGGGACGGGCAGGGCTCTGCTCTGGGTCACCCCAGAACGTGAGCCCCAGCCCAGCCCACCACCCAGAGAGGCTCACCTCCCAGCGGCTTCCATCCAGGGCTGGGAAAAGCTCGCCCACATCCAGCAGACGCTCTGAGATCCGGCTGCAAAAACCGAAGTCCTGGACACGGTGGAGACAGGAGGTCAACTCTGCCCGTCACAGGCGGTGCCCCCCAGAGCCTCTCCTCCACCCCAGCCCTCCAGGAAGGCGCCTACTTGCGACAGGCACTGGGCTACACATTCCAACATCTACTAATTAATTTAACCTTCAAATAAGACTATGACTAGATGGAAAGATGTGATAGAGCAAGTGTGGAAAAATGTTCACTGTAGACTCTAGGTAGTGAGTATGTGGGTATCTGCTATAAGGTTCAGTTTCCTGCATGTTTGGAATTTTTTGCCATAAAATTATTAAGGAAGCAGGTTTGAGAGCACATGTAATTTGCCCAAGGTCACACGGCTGCTAAGCAATGGGGCTAGGGGTCAGATGTGCCCTGGGCTGACTCCAAAGCCCAAGCTCTTTGCATGGCATGTGCTGCGGAGCATGTCACTCCCCAGCTGCCTCCCCCTCCTGGTGCCCAGGACCCCTGCAGGCAGCTTGGAGATGAGTTCAGGAGGCTCCTTCCAGCCTGTTCTTTCCCCATCCCTATACAGGTACCCCTCTGGACAGTGGGGATTAATTAGTGGCACTGTCTCCACAGGCTTCTCTTGGGGACAGGCCCACACAGGTGCCAGCTCCTCACGGCCCTTTGGCTGCCACAGCAGTGATCCTGCCACCACCAAGCCTAAGCTCCCTGCGGGGCTAAGTGAAGGATTACTACCTGATAGCACGCTAACAGGGGGATTCCGTCAGCAGCCCCGATGCATGGCAGGACGCCTAGCCAGGGCCTGGCCCTGCTGTCCATGGCTGCCTCCACCCATCCCCCAGAGAAGAAAAATGCTGATGGGCACACAGAGACCCCTTCAGAAGGGCCAGAGCCCTTGCTTCAAAGAGTTCTGTGGCACAGCTATTCTTCACAAGGGTTTTTGTCAACAGTGACTTTTTGTGATCCCTGCCGAGCTTGTGGGCTATCCCTTCTGGTGACATTTTCCTTGCAGTCTGAGTTCTTCTCTACTTAATGCAGCTGCCATCTGCCCCCTAAATCCACGGCTCAGGGAGGAGAGAGACAGCACACAGCCTTCTAATTCCTCTGCATCCCCTCGTGTCGTTACTGCTCATCCCTGACCCTCTCCCACTAATCCCTTCCTTTTGATCGGCCTCCTCCAAACAGATGGAGCACGGTTACCAGAGGTGATGTTCTGCCAAAGAGCATCCCAAGCTACTCCCCTTAGCCTTAGATACAGACCTGGCAAATATAGCTGAGATGCAGCAGGCTGGGTACAAGAACCATGCATGTTGGCATTCCAGGACACTTTGGAAATGAAACTACAGCATCCCCCCGAGCCAGGGCCTGAGGACTGGTCCTCAGCCATAACACACGCACGCACGCACGCACGCATGCACACACACCTAGATGTCTCTAACCTCCTAGATTTATTTTTCTGCCAGAGCCCAGAGGCAATTCCCATGATCTCACAGCTATGGGATTCACACAGCAATAATAGTAATAATAGCAAATATTTATTCAATGTGTATATGCTAATGTTTTATATTCCGTGTCTCACATTCTTCTCATAACAAACCTATGAAATATCGATATCCTTAATGGGCTGAGAAACTGGAGTTGGACAGGACCCAGGTCTGAACGTAACTTCCAGCTCACACGCTGTGTTATCGCTGGGCAGATCACTAAACTACGGGGACTCCCAGTTCCACGCTCTTCCCCACCATGCTGCTGCCCCTCGTCTCACACTCACCAGGCCAAAGGACTTGGGGTCAGAAGCAGTGGAGTCTGAGAGCTGTAGCTCCTTCAGGTGTTCATTAATCTCTGACTTCTGGGGAAAGAGACCCACGGAGCAGTCACCCAGAGCACAAAGGTCAGGAACACCCCGGGAATTCGGTTCAGGCCATGGTGCCAATGTAGGGCTGAGCCCAAACCGAGATCTACCTCTTCTGGAAAACCTGAAAGAGGACTGTGAACCCTCCCGTTCTTTCTGGACGCTGCACCAGCCCCACTCAGTCTGGGCAGCTGCATATGGATAACCACACTCTGGCTCAGGCCAACAGGGACTGACCCAGGTAAGGAGAGTCACGTGAAACGGAGTGGAAATGGTTAGAAGCTGGCAGTCAGGAAGTGTGATGCTATCCTGAAAAATCAGAGTGAGAATATCTACTCCAAGAAATAGCTAAAAGCTCTTTAGACAAACCCTCTCTCCATCTACCCAGAGGAGGAGAAAGACGAAGGGTTAGAAAGTCAAAAATCAAAAATCAAAAATGCCAAAGGTATTGGGACCTACTTCTGTCCATTTGGGTCACCGTCCTGGTGGCTTGCGTTGGTGCAGATAGAGCCACAGAAGTTAATGAGCGGCATCTTCTCATAACCTAACCGGTCAGTGCTGGGGCAGATGCCCCCAGGTGGGCCCCAAAGCCCTCAATGCTCCCTCCACAGGAACTCAGGACTGCTGCAATGTGACTGACCCCAAACCAATGTGCAGACGTAGAAAGGCGGGCAGCGGGAAGGAAGGAGGAAGTAGAAGAGTCCCGATACCACCAGGGGGGAGCCAATGCAAGAGCGAACGTCCCTGCGAACCGCTACGCCAGCAGGTCTGAAGTTGCATTCAGGATCGTGCTGCCTGCTGGGGCTCGGCGCACCCGCCACGATTCCAGGGCTGGGCTGATGAGGCAGCCGGCTGCAGGGCCTGAACTGAAGCTCAGTAATAAAGACGCAGGACAGGAATCTGCAGAGGGCTGCTGCCTGTGGGACAAAGTGACTTACTTCGCTGGCGTCTGATCCGCTCTCCTTCAGGACAGATGCCTCCTTCTTTGGCCCCACCACGGCCTCCTCTGTCCCGGAACCATCCTCTCCCGCATCCACTGGAGCCTCTTTTTTACTGGCGTTGGCCGGCGGATCGGCCCCAGGGTCTTCCCCAGGGTCCGCCGGAATCCCTGATGACCCAGGGTCACTCTCCTCACTCTTTTCCTCTTCGGGGACCCAAGCACCTGCCCGTCTTCCCTGCTGCCCTTTGCTGTGGGCACTGCTCAGGCTGCTGTCTGCACCTTGGCTGAAGAGCTTGCCAGGAGGAGGGGGGCCGGCCGCATCTGGATCTAGAGAGGTGTCCTTCTTCTCCTCTGGCTGGCTTGTTCTCAGAGACTCCTAGGGAGCAGCAGAAATGTCAGAAAGACATCAGGAGTGAACAAGTGGAGTTTACAGGCTTGCTATAAGACGAAGCTGCCATTCCTTGACTCCTACAGGCCAGTGCCCTGGTTCTGACACTGATGTTTATCAAACACCCCAAAAACTTGATAAAACTGAGCTTCCTGGCTACACCCAGATCTACCAAATATGCCCTTCCATGGTGACTTGGATACACCCAGCCTGACCCCCAAACCACTGATGGGCCTGGGAGCCACCACAGCGGACCACACAAATGTCACCACTTATCATGTCCCTGAGCTAAATCCATCTCGTTCCAGCTCCATTAACCAAATCATAAGATTACAGACTCAGAAGTCAATATTTATTTTCAATGATGGGTATGGAGAATCACAGGAGAGAAAAATAACAAAGTCCACAATTTCTGTTTTTCATTTTTAAGAGGCAGCAGGGAAAAAATATCACGAAGGAGTCCTTCAGTGGCACTGAGGGCAGCTCTATCCCTAAACCCTCCGCGGCACAGGCAACCCCACAGACAGCGTCCTCTGTCGGAGGACTGTCAACTGAGACCTGTGAGAAGCAGGTGGTGACAGATGGGCTGGGTACACAAGTGAGTGATGAGGGGGTGCCCTGTGACAGACAAAGGGGGTGGGAATAAAGGGGGCCTGGGACCTGTGAGCTGACCACGCTCAGCTCATAATCTTGGGTTAAGGGACAGAGGAGGTGTCAGGCCACAAAGAGCACCCCTGGCCTTCAGGACGGGTTTCCCATCTCCTCATATGGCCCCAGCCACACCCTGCACACGCCCGCCCCTCCTGCCTGTAAGTACATATAATGCTGTTCTGCTGCTCTGCTGTGCATTCTTGAAACACACAGCCACACACGAATCTACCCTGACAAACTCCCACGGGTCCTCCCGGCATCTCCTCTCCCGCCTGGGCCAGCCACCCTGCAGTGAGCCTCCCATCCTCTCCCATACGACCACTGTGTCATGACCACTCGTTTCCTCCTTGGCTTCCCTCACCAGGTCAGCTCCGTGCTATCCTGACTGCCCAGTTTCTGGCACATATGAGGGGCTCAGTAAATGCTTACTGGCTCAACTTTTTTCAAAAATTCAAGAGTGTCATGCAGATATAGGAGTTCCTACTCTGTAAAATGGAGATACAGTATTTATTTTTCAAGCTTACATATTTGTTATAGTGCTTATTAAGTGGGAAATGGCTAAACAAACGGTAATGACTAATATTCAAGATGACGGAAAAACAAATTGCCTATCTTTTGAGAGGTCAGAGGTCACCAGACTCAAGTAAAGACCCCCGTTCTTGTACGTGAGAGAATACAGCCAGACTACAAGAATGTTAGGCCAGTCTGTGCCATTCTCAAGCTTAAATTCGTCAAAAGCAGCTTTCCCTATGACGGAGCGGATCCAATACTGTCTACCGAGACGTTAAAACACTCGACAGGCAGAGAGTAAAACACCGAGTTTGCATTCTCGGCACCCATGTCAACTAACTGCCAGCCACATGGCAGCCAGAGGTCCGCCCTGAGGGAAGGACAGCAGAGGGGCCTGGCATCTGTTGTACGTCATCCACAAATGGGTGGGTGAGGGTCGAGTGTCTGGAGAACCCATGTGACCCCGAGCGCCCGTCCTGCTCAGGCCCTGCTCACGCGCATCATGGCCCAAGGCCTGAGGCCTGCCCTGGGTGCCGCCAGGCCCTGCGGAGAGTCTCCTTTGGTGCTACTCTGTGAGACACACAGCAAGGGTGGGGGGCACCCCAGGCACCCCTGCTCTCAGCTCTGCTCTCAACTCATCTGAGCTGGGCCTCCTCCTGTCTCTTCCTGTCACAGCCCCAGGCCCTTGAGTGTCTGCAAGCAAATTTCTGCTGCTTCTTCAAAAAAAGCCTCGCCATCTGCAAGGGGCAGGTGGGGTGGGGGAGTACCACAAAGTGCCTAAGAACAGTTTCGTGAATATTCATTCTCCCCAAAAGCCATGAGGGCTCCAAGGCAGCAGTCCCCCTCCTCGCCCTCCTCCAGCCCAGGGCACAGAGGCGGGGGCTCCCCAGAGCCGCGCAGCTCAGGGAGGAGGGAGTGGAGGACCGAGGAGCTGAACACAGCAATCCTCGTCCTTGCACCGATCCTGTTCTGGGGAGACGCCCCCCCAACCACCAGCCTGGTTCATTTTCCATGTCTCACTCACTCCCTGCTTGGTCCCAGTTCTGTGCGCTGCTCCCCAGTGTGGTTAGCACTCCCCAGTCACACTGACATCACCCTGTTCTCTGCAGGCCCAGCTCCCTCCCTCGCCTCTGAGCTGCTCATGGGCTGCTCACCAGAGCCACAGGGGCCACCAGACACCTGCTCTCCTCCCTTCAGACCCCCTCTCGCAGTCACACCCGCCCTCAGTGTCCGCCCACAGACCCACCCACTTTGATTCTGTGGTGGACCAGAAATGGGTTCAAGTTGAAGGCGAGGAAGGGGAAAGAGACAGAGAGGGAGGGAGGGATTGAGGGGCACTCTCGCCACCTTCCTGCCCTCTCACAGAATCAAACAGAGGGAGATTTCCATCCAGGGCTGCCTGGGATGCCTGGGAGCAGGAAAGGCGAGCAGCTCCGAGGACCCAAGGTCTACGCGGGGACAAAGCCTCCTTCCAAGGGCCTGGTCCCAGCGGAGGCAGCCTCGCCTGTCCTGACACACCTGGTCTCCCCACCAGCAGCAGCCCTGGCTCCTGACTGCAGCTGGGGTGCAGGGACCCAACACCCTACCCGGCAAAGGGCAGGGGAAGGTGTCTCTAACACCTCCCACTCCAGACTTTGCCCCGATCGCACTGGGTTGCCTATTTAAAGAGATTACAAAAAATCTGTTTAAAAGCTCCCCCTCCCACAAAGCAGCATATGCTCCTCAGAAGGGAAGCTTTAGACACCCAGAGGGGGTCAGAGAAGAGGGCGCATGTTTTGTTGATATTTGTAATCCTTTATGAAGTAGAAATTAAAGAACCCGAAGTTTAAGTCCCTCCGGATCTATTGGGTTCTCGATGCAGAAGCTGATGGCAAGGACCGGGCACTCACTCTATGCAGGAGGGGCAGCCGGGAAAGAGACAGACCTGCCCCGGCCCAGCAGGGCTCATTCGCCCACCCAGCTTGTCTTTTTCTCACCTGGCTCAGCAAACATACTACATTCCAGACAGTGGGTCAGGTGCTAGACATGCGGACATCAAGGGCAGAATCTCTACTCGGCTCATGTAGACCGGCCTCTTTTCCCATGTCCTCTTGACACCCCATTCCTATTCCTGGTCACCCTTCCAGGCTCAAAACCTGAACTACTGGTTCTACCAGTATTACAAAGTCTTAATGGTGCCTGAGAAGAAACAGAGTTGTTATTTCCAGGAACAATATAGACTGAAGGCTTTGGACCTAATGCAAGCAGGCTGGGCCCCAACTCAGAAGGAAAAGTTTCCAAGTAGACACAGATCAGGCTGATGGCAAAGACAGGACACTTAGAAAAGAGTGTCACATTTGGTAAAAAGCATTGAAGTCACAATGAAAACATATCTGACTGTGCAGAGCCAAAAATGTGTACAGTTTCTGAGGTATAAAGGAAGGCTGACTGTATAAAAGGGCCTGCCTGACGGCGAGAGCTGGCTCACCCGGGAAGGCTCACCTACAGCCACCCCAGCCAGCCCGCTCTCCAGGTGAGCTGACGGCCACGAAATGAGAGTCAGAAGTAGTAAGAACACACGGGGTAATAAGGACATAATAATAAGCGATAGTAAGGAAACAAACTTAAATCCACAAAATAGGCACTATTGTTTTACTGGTGTTGTGTGATCACTGATAAAATGTGAGCGATCTTTCATTTGGAAGGGTTTAAAGTACTTAAAAGAAAGTTATACACTAGACTTGTGAAAAGCTTAATTAAACTTGCAACAAATATTCAAATGTTTGGAGAACTCTCACTTGCTGATTTACTGCTTATGTGAACACCTTGGGAATTCTGAGAGAAATCTTAATTGCTAAAATTAATAAGTCGGACACTAGACAAAGCACATATAGTAGGGAATGTTCCTTTTCAAGTAAAAAAAATGCAGTGGGGGGAGGTTTAGGTATTACAGTGACGTGAATTTGGGGTTCTATTTGCTTTAAAGAGCATTCTGGTGGCAGTGGAGGACAGGCCAGGGAAGACCAGAACCAGCAGGACTATGGGGCGAGGGGGGAATGTTCTAGAAGCTACTCCCATCCCTATTCTGCACTGCATGGCCTGGTGCTTCGCCTGAGCTGCTCACTTGTCTAAAATATCCCTTACAACTCTATGCCTAGAACTTACCTATTCTTCAAGGTCCAAGGAAAACGTCATCTTTCTTGAGTTTTCACTGATCTCCAGGCAATTTCCTCCCCCTCAGAACTCCTCCAAACAGTGTGCCTGGGCCCAAGTTCTTTATACACCCTGCCCTGCTTATGGTTTCCCACACATTCGTTTATTCCGCGTTTACTGAGCACTTCCTGAGCGTCAAGTACCTAGTGTCCCTTCTCTCTCCCCGCAAGCTCCTGAGGCCAGCACACACCCATCCCACTGACCTGTGTCTCCCATAGGGCCCAGCACAGTGGCCTGCTACACAGCCAGCACTCGACACACATTAAGACTCTGGGTGATGTTACAACTCTGTTCGAAACCTCTGACGGCTCCCAAGACCTGTCGTGATCCAATCCAAAACTGCTTGGCTGGCACTCGGGCCCTCCACGGCACAGCCCAGCCTACCTCCACAGTCTCGCCTCCCATCCTTCCCATGTGTCAATGCGTCAGTCAAAGAGGGTGCCCTCATCTTCCCCCAACTCACCCCCCTTCTGCCTCTGCCCACACAGTGACCTGAATTTGGACTTCTCTCTCACACTCCCCTCTGCCCGTCCAGTCCCGTCTGTCCCCCAAGGCTCACCAGAGGTCAGTTTCTCAGCAAAGCCTCTGCTGTTCCATCCCCATGGGCAGCAGGCCCAGAGCCTCCCACCCCCAGCAGGATGTGTGCCCCTCTTCACAGCCTCACTGCACTCTGCCCTGTGTCCCGTTATTTCAGTCTCTCTTTCATGAGGCTGTAACCTCGCAGAGGGCATAGAGGACAGTGACCACATATAACTAACTGATCATAAGGCGTGTATGACCTACGGCACCTGGCAAAGTGCCCCAGGGAGGAACGTTCAGTACATGGCGGCCACCCGGTAAATGAACAGATGGACTCCTTCCCCACCTCATGCTTCCCCAAAGCCCCACCTAGACAGGCCTGCGACAAAACGGTTCTTGTTCCAGACTGCACCCCCCAGGAGAAAGGCTGGAGAAGGAAAGAGGGTCACACGAGGTGAAGATCTGCCTGCAGGGCTTCAGGCTCTTACCTCGTACTCGAAGTCAGGCCCCAGTATCCCAAGGTCCAGGTGCAGGTTCTTAAGAAGCTCACTTGAGCTACGGACACTCTGAAAACAAAAATGATGACAAGGGGTAAGTCAAAGGTAGCCTGTCAGCCCCAGGCTGAGGGCCAAGACACACTTGCTGGTGACACTTTCTGGATCAAACCGAGCAGGTGCAGAGGCCGGGCAGGAAATAAAGCTGGGGGCTGGAAAATCATCTTTACTTATTTGCAAAGTAGCGCAGAGGTTAGCTGAAAGGTGAAAACAACTCAAGTGCCCGTTAGCTGACGACTGGGTGAACAGTACGTGGCGGTCACACAGCAGAGGGTCATGTGCCCATACGTGCTGAGCCAAGGGTGTACCCTGAGAACATTATGCCACATTGAAGAAGCCCCACATAAAAGGACAAATAGTGCAACACAGAGAAGACAAGTAGTGATTTTACAGCATCTCACTACACTGATGGACAGTGACTAATGGGGCATGTGCGGGGGACTTGGTGAAGGGGGGAGTCTAGTAAACATAATGGTCCTTGTATAATTGTAGATTAATGATACCAAAATAAAAAACAAAAAACAAAAAGAAAAGGACAAATATTGCGTGATTCCACTTATATGAAATATCTAGAATAGGCAAATTGTGAGACAGAAGGTAGAAGAGAGGCTACCAGGGACTGGGAGAGGGGGAATGGGACTTAACCGTTTGACGGGCGCCGAGTCTCCGCTTAGGACGCTGAGCGAGCCCTGAGGTGGGCGGCGTGGCAGCTACACGGCACAGTGAAGGTAACTAAGCGTACACTGAACTGCATACTTGCAGATGGTTAAACTGGTCATTTTCAGGTTATATATATTTGACCACAATTTTAAAAAAAGGTTTTTTAAAACAGCACGGAGGGATTCTAGGCCAAGACGAGGACTCCCGGTTACCTGGCAGCTGCTCTCCACCTCATGCTCCTCGTTGGTGTCCTGCCCTGAAGCCCAGAGGCCGGGAGCACCCCTGTCCTCATGGATGGAGCCCAGGAGACCCCTGGTATGTGTGGAAGTCTTGAGACCCTGTGAAGGCTCCAAAATAGAGGCATTATTGTTAGCCGGCACAGCGGCCTTCAGGATGCCTTCCCCGTTCTCCCTCGGCTCAGATGCCCCCCAGAGCAGGCCCCCCACACCCAGGAGGCTGGCCCTGGCAACTCCGCCCAGCCCACGCTGACCCCTCCCCTGTCCAGCTCCCACGGCAGGGCCTGCTTGGGCTGGGACAGTGCGCGGCGCCCCCTCCAGCACGGCCCGTCCCCCATTCCCCAGATTCCACATCCAGCGTCACACAAGTGTGACCTTCCCGACCCAGATCACAGACTCTGAGGACTCAGGCATGCACTCTTTTCCCACGTGTGGGCCGCAGTTCCCAGCATGGCATGCGGAGGCCCTGCAGTAACTGAATACATGGGACAAAAGAAAAAGCATTTACCAGCAGGAGTTCTCCAGGCTGCCTGGACTGCCCCGAGCTACCCAGGCTCACGTTTTGAGATCCACGAGGCGCAGAGGGCGGGGCATCCACAGGGACGCGTAGGGGAGCCAGGCCCCCAGGAGGAACGTGGACTGGGGCTAATGAGGAGCCCAGGGCCTGGGCGACAGAAAACACCATGTCACAAACTCAAGACACCACATGGCTCTGAGAGGGTTGGAGACAGATATAAAAATAAAACATCTAACTCCAGCCCGCTCAAATTTAAACCACCTCCGTTCAGAGGCTGCTAATGAGACACAACATCCGGCAATTACCACTGTGCCAAGTGTGTAAGAGCTCAGAGGCGGGCTTCCGGGCTCTCCTAACTCGGCTGCTGTCCCCAGGAAGCAGCGCTTGCTGCACGGGGCTCTGTGCTCCTTTCGGAAGCCAGAGGGAGTCGGGGGGAGGGGACGGCAGAGACAAAGGCCTCATCTACCAGAATGGGAAGCCTCAGTAGATAGTCTAAAACTGATGAAACGGGAAAAGCAGTCTAAGCACATTATTTTCAAATGTGGGCGTGAACACCAGAAGCAAGCGGCAGCCCCTGGGGAGGGGCACACAAATCAGAGCGTTGTTTCGTTATATGCCTTTTGACTTAGCTCAATATGGGCCTGTTACTTTAAAATAAACGTTAACTATGAAAAATATACATGTGCAATGGAAGAAGACGGTCTTTCCCCCTCCATCGGTGAGGAGAGTGGCTGGTGCAGGGCGCCCAGGCCCTGAGGAAGGCTAATCAGAGGCTTCCTGCTGCAAGGTCCGGAGAAGAAAACCAGGCCGGGTGTCAGGACCTGCCAAGCCTCAGGCTGCTCGCACAGCCTGCGATTCTCAGTTTACTCATCCTCAAGAACAAGACGATGGGTGTGTAGCCACTGAAGGTTTGCTGAGAGGTTCAAAGAATGCCCGGCGCCCAAGTGAGGGCTCCAGGGCCATGCTGCCCTTAGGGAATCGCTGTTACGGGAATTCACCTGACACTGGTCTGAGCTTAGAAGCAGAGGCAAGGATAGCGTTCTGGGGACAATTTACACAGGCTCTTTAAAATTCATTTTTCAAACTTAAAATGTATAGACCACTGCAAAATCCCTTTCCTCTCTAATTGCACAGGGACTGGGGAAACTGGTCCCACCCACAGCCCTAGGGGCCAGGCCAACAGCCCATCAGAGCAAGGCCCATTTCTGCCTTGGAGGGGCATCAGATGCTCCTCTGAAGGGTGAGATAACCACTCCTGAGACTTTGTAGATTCCCAACCATCTGACCTGCTGTAGAGTATCTTTGTCCGTCAGAAAAGGAGCTAAAAATTTAAAAATTGGCCAATGTTACCCAAGCGCCAGGGAGCCAGCTAAGCACCTTAGGCCACATTTCACTTACATCACAACAGCCTGTGGCTACAGTCCCCACGTGACTACACGGAGGCTGGGGAGGTAAAGACCTCAGCCCTGAGTCACAGGGCCAGCAAGGGGGCCAGACATGGGACTGGAACCCAAGGCCACTCTAAGCCAGTGATTCCTACTGCCTCCCAGTTAGGGTGCAGAGGGAGCCCAGGACAGCTGCTCTGAGGTGCCTGTGGGAAAACCTTGCCTGCTCTCCTGACTTCAGGGCTCCATGCCAGCCCCAGGGTACCCGCAGGCAAGATGCCTCCCACACTGTATTTATGGAAAAGTACAGATTCCTAACATGGCTAATTTGCTAGGTGCTAGGGGTCTGAGGGAGGGAGACAGGCGTGCTGAGGGCTTTGTTCTCCAACACCTTTACCAAATCAGTGGTTAGCAGGGAAATTATACACTCCTGGCTCCTTGCTGATCATCTTCTATAGATGACCATTAACTCTGACTATGGGCTGTGCATGGCATTGTCCCTCAAAGCGGATAAACCTACTGCCATTGGGCTAATTAAAACTTTCGGGATAATTCGCAGCCGATCCGATAGTTACAGCGCCACAGTAGTCATTAAAGCTAACAGGAAACCCATGCCCGCCAGCAACCAAGAGCCGGGGTAACAGCTGGAAGTGCCACAGCTGCAAGCGGTGAAGGCCTAGCTGGGGACGCTCAGACCCAGCGCCAAGGTCCCTGATCCGACCTGACCTCTGGATGGAGAATACGGTGCGACTCTCTAAAGGAAGAAAGGGTCAGAATGACAGGCAAGCCCAACCCTTTGCTAAGTCCCCCACAGCACCTGCACGAGCCTGCTGCAGGTCATTCACGTGGGGACCCTTGGGAATGAAGGAGCAGAAGCAGCTCTTCTGACCACCTTCAGCCCCTCAGGGCACCATTAACCCTCTAGCTCTGTGTGAGTCCAAGCTAAGCTCAGAGCTTGGGAGTAGGACGTCTACTTGGGAGGACCCCTTTCCAAATCAGCTGATGGGAAAGGCTTCCCAAATCCTAGCGAGGTACCTATATCCTGCATGAGTGCCAGGATCATGCCACTTTGCTCGCCCTCCAAACCGCTCATCTTCAAAGCAGGTGAGCCACCCATGAATCCCAGTTAGGTCCAGGGAAGGGAAGTCCACATACCCTCAGCCCCTATCTTGCAGGTGATGGGCTAGAACATCCCACAGGATGGCCACCTTGGGTAGTCAAGGGATCAGTAGTTACCAAGGGAGGGCAAAGAACAGGAGAGCAGACCTGATGGCGGCGTCACCCCATCAACTCAACCTGCTCCCTCCCTGCCAAGTTCACTGGGGCCTACAGGCCATTCTGCCTAAGAAGCCTACCTGGTTGAGAAGCTGCATCTTGCCTGGCTCTGTGGCATGCCTTCTGTGGGAACTCGGCTCGGCTAGCCACTGCCTGAGGGGGCTGCTGCTTGGCTGCAAACAGGCTTGCTGAGATGCCTCCTGCCCAGCAGGGGCACAAGCCGCCTCCTGAGGGCGCTCCAGCATCTCTGGCCCCAACACCAGAAACCTTGAGTCCCTTTCTGTGGCTCTGATGGCCTTGTGCTCACCCTCACTGGACATCCTGGAAGCCTCAGCCGCCATGCAAAAGGCCATGCTGGTGATGTCTTTGCACGGCATTTCCTGCGTGCTCTCAGAGAGCCCCAGGCCCTGCAGTCGCCTGGAGAGCTTGGCCACCTGCAGGATGTGCTGGTAGAGCTTCTGATCCCCGGAGTAGTCTTCACTCTCTGACTGTTCAGCAGCAGAGCTCTGCATGAAGGGCAACTGGGGTGCCAGGAGAGGGCTAGGGTAGTGGCCTCTGGGCCCCGGGCCCGACTGGCCCACAGCACGCTCTGCTTCCTGAGGGCCCTGCAGGTCCCAAGGGAAGTTATTCACCTCGCCCAGAATCTGGGAGGTCAAGCTGCTGCTGTGGCTATTCCCTGAGTCGTGCCCACACCCACCAGGCTTCCTGTCTCCTTCGGGGGGCTCCAGAGCCCCTGGGGGTTCTCTCTTCTCACTGGCAAGAGACCCTCCAGGAGCACTGTCTGAAGGGGGGCTCTGGGCTGGTTCGGATGCCAGAGTAGTAAGTGGCATTAAGAATGGCCCCTGAGGCGGATCCTCGGCTGAGGCCCCTGGAGCCCCAGGGTCACTGGGTTCTGCTTCCCTGCAGCTCCCAGGGGCGTCTTGGTCGACAAGCTTGGAGAGCCACCCCATCCACAGTCCTGGGGGCTCTCTCCACCTCCCCGCCCAGCCCATACTGCCACCTTCCCCAGAAACACCCTGCCAGCTCAGGTCCCCGACTGGGCTCTCATCTGACAAGAACAGTTTGCCCTTCCTGGTGGGTATCATGTGGTCAGAAGAACAAGAGGCTAGGGAGGGCTCTTCTTCAGGGAGTGGCAAGGGAATGGGGCTCTGGCCCTCGTCCCCCCCAGGGCCAATGCAGCTCAGTTTGGCCATGTTGTGGCCGTATGGCTCCCCTTTCAGTTGTGGGCCCTGGATGCCTTCAGAAGGCCCCAAGTGGCTGTAGGCCTGGCTCCTGCTTCCCCAGGCGCCCTGCCTGCTCGGGAGGGGCCCGGTGTTCTCAGCGCTGCTCCTTTCTTCCAGCTCTTCTACTTCAGGGTCTGAAAACCCCAGGTGGATTTTCTCTGTCAGCTTCTGGGATTCCTCCAGACCCTGCTGACCACCTAATGCTGTCCTGCATTGTGCTGGGGCCCTGCCTAAGAGTTTCTCCACGTCATCGAAGATCTGGTGGGTTTGGGAAGGCCGGCCTTTGGAGAGTGGCTGTAGTTTGCTGGGCAGGGTGCCCACGAGAGGCCAGGGAGTGTCACCTGGCATGCGCAGGCTCTTCCCTTTCTTAAAGGAGCCCTCGCTTCTAGCCTGCAGCTCTTGGTCTAGATCCAGCTCAGCGAGCCCGGGTGCCGGGAGAGGAGGTGGGCCATGGAGAAAGGAGGAAGAAGGCAGAAATCCCTGCTCGGGCTGTGTGTCCTAGACGGGCATATAAACATGCAGAAAACTAAGATAGAGCACTTGCGATTTATCCTTCTTCTTGAGCCCTCAGCAAGCCCGAAGCAGAAACCCACCCTCCATTTAAAGTAAAACATATGCCAAAGAGGGAAGAAAAGCAAAAAGCTCCCCTGGGCTTTGCTGTTTTCTGGGCCCTGGCTTCCTCATCTAGAAAGAGGAGGCTGGACTAGATGGGTGGCTTACAAAGCCTGCTTCACGGAACCTGCGGGCCGGTTCCACCTGGTACCTGGGAAGCTACTATAGTGCACGTGTGATGGAGAAGGGGCACTGCCAAGACCCACACCCCCAGGCGCAGCCACAGCGGCTCCACCCCTCTCTCCGCTGGACCTCTCTGGTGGAAGTGATTTGAAGACAGGGCTTCACTACTAACAAGAGACTGAAAATCGCCAACCAGATTATCCCAGAGGAACCGTCGAGCTCTCTGGTCTATGACTGGTTAATTTTATAAAATCCACCGACCTTACCAAGGACCACCAGCAACAGTCTAAGAAGGGAGAGGTAAGCGGAAACATAACTAGAGAGCTGAGCCCTGGACACTCAGTCTGTTTTCTGCCAGAGGCACCAGTCGGTAATGCTCACGGGAGGTCCACACAGTCAGAGGATCCTGGGGCTGGAAGAAACCCTGAAAACCAGCCCCACCCTGCAGACACTCACATCGAACTGCCTGTGCCCTGGTCCCCCAGCTGGTCCAAGCCTGCCCTCTGGGCGGACTCGGCTTGGATCCCAACTGGCAGCCAGGACCATCCCACTGTCCACGGCCCCGAAACCACTGAGGGGACCCTTCTAAACAGGGAGCTCCAGGAACCCTCCCTGACTCAGAGCTCAGCCTGCTACCCGACCTTCTCCGAAACATGAGTGTTAGGGAAGGAGGGGGTAGGTGTTATTTACAGAGCTTGAAATGAAGAAAAGGATAAATTTGTCAGCAGCCACCCAGCACCAGATGATGCCCTGGGAGGGAAGGAAGATGGAGGAAACCTTTCGGAGAAGAAAGCGCCAGGCACTGGTGGAAAACACGAAACAGCATGGCAGACCCACCGGACACTGAGAGGGATGCAGACACCTTCCCAGGAGTCCCCGCCTGGCTGGCCTGGGGCCCTCGGTCTCCCGGTGCCCCGCCGGTCCCACCCCGATGAGGGGGAGAGGTGGCTCCCTGCAGCTGGGCTCTGAGTCTCAGCACCCACCCAAACATGAGGGCGGTAACTGCCCCCCAGGTGCACACCTCCTGGAGGGACAAAGACCACAGAGGGGAGGGCGCACTTCCATCGCTGGGACCGAGGGGATCAGCTGCCGTCACATTTCAGCTTCTCCACCAATGGAGGGCGCGGGCCACAGAGACGCCCCAAGGAGGATGAGGCCCAAAGCTTTTCTCTTTGGACCCTGAAGGCACTGGAGTTCTGACACCTGAATTTTGATCACATCTGACTTCTAGGAATTCCACACAGAGACAAACCAAGCACCCTCCCCAGGAAGGCCTGACTCTGAGAGAAGAGGAAAGGCCACTTCTCCAGGCTCTCTGTCCTCCACCAGCTGCCGGTCCCCGTCCCTCCCTCTCCGGAGGGCAGATGGCACTGCTTCTCCGACTACTGCAGACCCCGTCCTCCCAGTGCCCTCCCTCTCCCCTGTCCTATCATCTAACACGTGGAGAAAAGGAACTGGGTAGAGACAGTAACAACTTCCAGAAGCTGAAAGGAAGATCTGCCAGAAGCCGGGCACAATTCAGAAGATGTACCATCAAGCAGTCACTCTTTTTTTCTTGTGGTCCTTGGTCTTCCCGCTGCAAACACCCAGAGGCTCCCAATACCCCTCAGGTTTCGGCCCCGGCCTCTCTGGAAGCTGGGACCCACTGACTCACCAGGGGGCTTCTGGATGTCTCTTTGTCCTTCTTGTCTTTCTTTTCCTTTTTCTTTTTCTTGTCTTTCTTCTTAGTGGCCCCAGGAGCCGACAGCTTCGCTCGCTCTTGGGTCACCAAACTCCGATAGTGCTCATCGCATGGATGGTCCCACATGGACTGTCCGTTGGCAAAGTTGAAATAGTAAATGTCCCCTGTGATATCCTGGCTGGGGACGAGAAGTCAGAAGTTAGTCCCTGCTCAGGCCCAAGGTACTTAGGAAAAAAAGAAAAAGAAGAAAAAATGGGAGGGAAGTGGAGAAGAGTGAGAGTCGGGGGTGGGGTAAGAGAGGAAAGGATGAACACAGAATTGAAGAGTAGCGTTCAGCTAAAAATAGGAGTTAAACAGAAAAAGGGCTGGGATACCTAAGAACTTCTCTAGATGGAGACATATAACCATCTCGGTTCCAGGGAATTCATCTAGACTAGAACAGGAATAAACTTGGTTTTAGACGGGTAAGTACAAACACTATGGTTTCTCAGAGATAATTCTAGGGCAGGCCTTGCTTAACATTTTTATAAATGGTCTGAGGAAGAAAGATGCCTGTGAAAGCTCTGATTTTGCAAGACTCTGAATTCATAAAAGGTGACAATCCGAGTTAGTGATGAGCAACAATAGAAGGAAACAATGTAGAAGGTGGGTTTCAAGAGCCCATGCTTCAACATGCACAAGTCCAGAATAAATTATCAATCATCCATTAGGACAGCCAATAGGGAAAAAAAATTCACAACACCAATATAAAAGATATAATACCCAGGAATAAACCCACAGTGTACAAAATCTCTACAAAGGTTTACTGAAAAGTCAGACAAAAAGAGAAAAAACAATTGGAGATATTACATGTTCCTAATAGAAAGATTAAAGTCTGTAAATAATGTCAATAATACTCAAATTAATGTATAAATCCAATACAATCCTAATAGAATCCCATTTGGGCTCCTTTATGAAACTTGACAAGCTTAATCTCAATTTAAATAAGAGAGAAAATATGCCAAAGTAAACAGGAGAAATATCAGGGGTAAAGGTTTAAAAAAGATGAATTACAAATGGCCAATAAGCACATGAAAAGATACTCAACATCACTAAATATTAGGAAATGCAAATAAAAACCACTTTGAAATACCACTTCACACCCATCAGCATGGCTATTATTAAAAAAGCAGAAAATAACAAGTGTTGACAAAGATGTGGAGAAATTGGAACCCTTGTGCACTGTTGGTGGGAATGTAAGATGGTGCAGCCCTATGAAAAACAGTGTGGCATGTTTCTCAAAACACTAAAAATAGAATTACTATATGATTCAGCAACTCCATTTCTAGGTATATGTCCAAAAGAATAGAAAGCAGGGATTCAAAAAATATTCATATGCCAATGTTCACAGCAGCATTATTCATAATAATGAATTATGGTCAAAAGATGGGAACAACCCAAATTTCCACTGGCAAGTAAACGGAGAACCAAAATATAGTATATATACACTAGAATATTACATAGTCTAGGAAAGGAATGAAATCGTGACACATGCTGCAACATGAATGGACCTTGCAGACATCACGCTACATAAAATACACCAAACACAAAAGGACAAACATTGTATGAGTCCGCTTTAACATTAAATACCCAGAACAGGCAAATTAATAGAAAGCAGGTTGTTAGAGGTTACCAGGAGCTGGAGGACAGGGGAGAATGAGGGTTGCTTATGGGTACAGAGCTTCCGTTTGGGACTATAAAAAGTTCTGGAATTGGATGGTGGTGACAGCTGCACAAGACTGTGAATGTACTTAATGCCACTGAACTGTACCACTAGAAGTGGCTAAAAGAGCAAATTTTATATTCTGTATATTTTACCAGAAAACAAAACATTATAAAAAAATTTGTAACTTTCAAAAGAAAGCATAAAGAAAATTTAAAGACAGGGGACTAGGAGAAAACAGTAGAAACAGGTAAGATTAATACCCAGGAAAATCAAAGGGTTACACCTCCTTAACAAAGATAAAAAGATAAGCAACCCAGTAGACAAACTAAATAAAGGATACAAAGAAGCAAATCACAGAAGATAAACAGATGGGCAACAGGTGGCAACTCAACTCTGAACAATGTGGGAAATACAATTGAAACTATCAGGTACAATTTCTTGCCCTTGGATTGATAATATTTTTTTGAACTGACAATTTTTTTCATGGATAATATTTGTAAATAAACAACCATATGTGATATTGGTGGGACTGCTCAACTTTCATGGAGAGTAATTTGGTATTAACTAACAATATTTACATTCTGCATATCCTTGAGTACATCAATTCAAATTCTGGAAATTTTTTCTAAAGAAATACATACCAAACCTCAAGGAACATGCTTAACTACAGTGAAGGAAATATCTACCTCCCCTCACCCTGTGCCAAATTCCCAGATGCCAGAAACAGAAAGAAAACGTGAAATCAGAGTAGTGTTAAGTATAGAAACTGACAGGTGAGGGCAGGTCAGTCTGACCTGGATATAGACCCTAGGAACTTGGGTTTTAATGCCCATGTGCAGACACAAAACGTAGCTTTAGGCCTTCATGAATTTGGTGAATAGAAACAAGACGCATGCCTCTATTGGAGGTGCTTAAGGCTGCCCCCTCCACGAGTGAGAGAACCCAGGGGGCCAGGGAAGCAGCAGGAAGACAGCGCCCTCTCCAGGTTCTAGGCAGGTGTAAGTCCAGGGAGAGGAAACCCCAGGGCAAAATACCTCTAAAAACCGAAATCAGTCAAAGGGAGAAATAAAGTTTAAAACGCGTTTATTGCTTACAAACTGCAGTCCAGCGCCGTCTCTCTCTCACCTGCTCCGGAAGGAAGCAAGCCAGCCCCTCCCCTTAAACTCTCAGGTTCCCACAAGCCCTCAGTTGCCCACGTAACTACCCACTGACACGGAGATGAACTTCTCTCCACCCCTGAGGATATGCAAATACACTAAAGCCAGGAGAGATATTCTGGAAATGTTACAGTTTTACCCAGAGTGGGCAAGACGAAAGAAACTTCATGAAAGACTGAAACCCCAAGACACATGGAGATATGGGGCCCAAAATGTGGTATGGAGTCCTAAGTCAGGAAATGAATGTACAAATTTAGTCCTAAACCACTGAAAAACCCTTGCAGAAGCTGTTATAAAGCCACTCAACAACCTAGGAATGAAACACTCACAGAAAATAACCTCCACAGAAGGTGAATTCACTAAATTCACAAATAAATAATGACAAACCGTGTGAGGAAAACAGTTCATCCTGAGAGGAAATCAGTGACAACGAGGAATTAGCACAACAAAAAACTTAGCTTAGAACAGTCAAAAGGAGACTAAAAATAACTGCATTTTAAATTATTGCAGAGCTAAGAGAAGAAGAATCCATAATGAAAAGTCCTAAACCACTGAAAAACCCTTGCAGAAGCTGTTATAAAGCCACTCAACAACCTAGGAATGAAACACTCACAGAAAATAACCTCCACAGAAGGTGAATTCACTAAATTCACAAATAAATAATGACAAACCGTGTGAGGAAACAGTTCATCCTGAGAGGAAATCAGTGACAACGAGGAATTAGCACAACAAAAAACTTAGCTTAGAACAGTCAAAAGGAGACTAAAAATAACTGCATTTTAAATTATTGCAGAGCTAAGAGAAGAAGAATCCATAATGAAAGGACAGAACTTTAAAAAAGCAAACCAGGCATACTGAAAGAACACAACAGAATTGGTAGGAATGAGTAAAGTCATTAGATTAAAAAAAAGGATTAAACAGCAGGTTTGATACAGAAAAGGAAACTCACAATGAATGGGGCAACGTACCAAAGGAAACCATCCAGAATGCAGCATGCAAGATGAAGAAATTTTTGAAATATGAAACAGAAGAGACACAGAGGGTTAGAAATGAAAGTCCAATATATTTCTAGTATCAGTTCCAGAAAAGTAATAATGGTTGAGAATTTTCCAGAACTGAAGACAGACATGAGTCCTCAGACTAAGCAAGCACTCCGAACCCTGGACACAGTGAATGGAAACAAATCTCTACCCAGATGCATGGTAGTGAGAAGATAGACACCAAAGGTAAAAACAAAATAATAAACAAACTAGAGGGAGAAAATCTGATTACCTACCAAGAAACAACAAATGAAAAAACATGTCTTATTGCAAAAGCAGAAGTCAGAAGACAATGGTACATAATTTGGTCAGAGGGCTGTTCAAATTCAACAGACAATTCTATGCTCAGCTACAGAGTGAGACTGGCCAAGGTGACTAAGGACACAGGAAGGTACAAACACATTCAGGTGCTTGATATAAAAGATATTTATAGACCCCGTATCCAAAAATGGGAAACTACACTCTGAGCAAGCAGGCACAGAACATGCACATGAATGGGATCACTTACTGAGCCACAAAAGAAGTGTGTCAACTTGTAACAAAGAATAAATAGAACAAATAAATAAAACTGAAAAATCAGTAATAAAAAAATACCCAAGCTCTAGCTACCTCATCCCTTTCTAACTATTATTTTGAAGCAAAGATACTTGTGACATAATGAGTCATAAGAAACACATAGTTGGTCATTCAGATGACCAAATACATATTTCTCTGGTGTATCTGGTCTACATCCACAGTTCCTGAAAACACTGCAGTCTTAAAGGTAAAATGGGCGTCTTGTCATGTTAATGAGACTTTTGGACCCCGCACAAGAGGGGGGACTGGAGGGTGAATCAGCCAATGGCCAATGATTCAGTCAATCACGACTGTGCAATGAAGCCCTCACAAAACCCCTGAGAGGAACACTCACTCTCCTGCATCCTGCTTCTCAGTAGGAGAGAGCTTCCAGAGTGCGTCCACCTGCAACCAAGCAAGGCCCCAAACTCCAGGAGGAGAGAAGCTCCTTTATTTGGGACCCTGCTCTATGTCTCTCTTCACCTGGCTGTTTATTTGTATCTTTTATTAAACTGGTAA